TTCCCTCCTTCCCTCCTTCCCTCCTTCCCTCCTTCCCTCCTTCCCTCCTTCCCTCCTTCCCTCCTTCCCTCCTTCCCTCCTTCCCTCCTTCCCTCCTTCCCTCCTTCCCTCCTTCCCTCCTTCCCTCCTTCCCTCCTTCCCTCCTTCCCTCCTTCCCTCCTTCCCTCCTTCCCTCCTTCCCTCCTTCCCTCCTTCCCTCCTTCCCTCCTTCCCTCCTTCCCTCCTTCCCTCCTTCCCTCCTTCCCTCCTTCCCTCCTTCCCTCCTTCCCTCCTTCCCTCCTTCCCTCCTTCCCTCCTTCCCTCCTTCCCTCCTTCCCTCCTTCCCTCCTTCCCTCCTTCCCTCCTTCCCTCCTTCCCTCCTTCCCTCCTTCCCTCCTTCCCTCCTTCCCTCCTTCCCTCCTTCCCTCCTTCCCTCCTTCCCTCCTTCCCTCCTTCCCTCCTTCCCTCCTTCCCTCCTTCCCTCCTTCCCTCCTTCCCTCCTTCCCTCCTTCCCTCCTTCCCTCCTTCCCTCCTTCCCTCCTTCCCTCCTTCCCTCCTTCCCTCCTTCCCTCCTTCCCTCCTTCCCTCCTTCCCTCCTTCCCTCCTTCCCTCCTTCCCTCCTTCCCTCCTTCCCTCCTTCCCTCCTTCCCTCCTTCCCTCCTTCCCTCCTTCCCTCCTTCCCTCCTTCCCTCCTTCCCTCCTTCCCTCCTTCCCTCCTTCCCTCCTTCCCTCCTTCCCTCCTTCCCTCCTTCCCTCCTTCCCTCCTTCCCTCCTTCCCTCCTTCCCTCCTTCCCTCCTTCCCTCCTTCCCTCCTTCCCTCCTTCCCTCCTTCCCTCCTTCCCTCCTTCCCTCCTTCCCTCCTTCCCTCCTTCCCTCCTTCCCTCCTTCCCTCCTTCCCTCCTTCCCTCCTTCCCTCCTTCCCTCCTTCCCTCCTTCCCTCCTTCCCTCCTTCCCTCCTTCCCTCCTTCCCTCCTTCCCTCCTTCCCTCCTTCCCTCCTTTTCTCTTCCTTTTCACATCGTTTATATATGCTACATGTTAGATATATATGAGTAAGGATGTTTGCCTATGTATGTATGTGTGTAGACTTTTTTTATTGATTTTAGAATATAAGAACTCAGAAGATATTAAATTCAAAGCACATTTCCATCAAAATAGTTTATATTGGTAATAATTCTTTCTTCATGAATTCTGTCAAGTATTCGTCCTTCATTATTCTTATAAATTGCATATGGACCACACTTTCTTTTAGTGAAGGGAGTTACAGAATTGATTATCGATATTCTTCCTATTTGATATATGTTATAATATTGTTATTAAATCTAAAGTTGTATTAAATGATTGTATTCTTTCAGTCTGCTGTAGGGGATGAAGGAAAAGTAGCTGTCGAAAATGCTGATATGTTAACAAGTTCCAGCCACTCTGCAAGTTCGTTCGACCATGTGTTAGTAGGTGTTCTTCCCCCATTCACATTCCAGTGTCCAGTAGACCTCTTGGGGGAAATCTTACGCACCCTGAAGCCTAAGGGTTCTTTAACCATGAGAACAACAGATGCCGCTAGCACGCAGTCAAATTTAAAACTCGGTGGTTTCACCTCGGTGTCTGAACCAAGGAATGCCAACCTCACAGACGAGCAGAAGCGAGATGTTACCGTGCCCGTCTTTGAGGTCATGTGTTTAAAGCCGGACTTCGAAGTTGGATCTGCCATGAAACTCTCCTTTGCAAAGCCAGCAGCGAAGGCACCGGCAAATACTTGGAACATTGACCTTAATGATGATGATGTAGACTTGGCTGATCCTGATGACTTGTTAACAGAGGAAGACCTGATCCGACCTGACCCAACAAGCTTAAAAGTTTGTGGAACGACCGGGAAACGCAAGGCCTGCAAAAATTGTGTGTGCGGGCTGAAGGAGGAGCTCGATGCCGAGGATATGAAGAACAAGGAGTCAGTGAAGAAGGACTTTAAATCATCATGTGGTAGCTGTTATCTTGGCGATGCTTTTAGGTGTGCCTCTTGTCCTTACCTTGGCATGCCTGCATTTAAACCTGGGGAAAAGGTAAAACTCGAAGAAAAGACATTACAGGATAGTACCTAAGGGATTGTAATTTTACAATAAAAGTCAAGCATTCTCTTGGGCATAATTGTAGAAATGACAGTAAAGTAATCGTATATAAATTATATTTTTTTTGCTATTTAGTATACAAGTAGACAGAAGTGGAAAACAGTTGTTTGTGAAGAAGTCTCATGAATTGGGTTGTAAAAATGATATGAAATTACATATTACATATACATGATATTTTTCTTTTTTCTTTCTTTGTGTTTTGGGATGTATACAGATGAAATAAACTGGTACAGGTAGCAAACTTATTTGCATTTACAGGAATTCTTGGTGACCTTATATTACATAACTATTTATTAGCATTTTATTTGTTATGTGTCATGAAATATTTGTTTGAAGCTTGATGTTATCTAGAAAGAAAACTTCATGGGACTGTGGTATAATCTTATCATTTAGTATCTGTAGGTCCTTCCTTCTGTCACTGATAAAGTATGTTTCCTGTGTTTAGGTTGATAATAATTGTATTGAAAAATAATTTTGATATAGGTCCCTCATGAAAGGTTAGTGAGATCAAACTTAATTTATATTCCATACTATCATGAAAAGAATATTTATCAATACCATTACCTATAATTTATGATGTATTTCTACAAGTAGATATTTTTTCTGATAATAAAACATATCCTGTAAAAAGCAAACAGAATAAACTTGAATGATATAAATATCTTTTGTTTCATTTATGTATTAATTTTGTTTATTGATTAAAAAAAAAAAAGTTCATTTCATTGTTCTCAGATTACAGGTAATCTGAAAAGAGTGTGTGCTGTTAAAATGCCCCCAAAAAATTGTTACAAAGACTTGTCCTTAAACAGACATAAGTACAACTTTATTTCAAATATGTCCCCAGAATAATAACTCAATATTTACTATATGAAAAAAATACAGCAGTAACACACAATAGTTCAATTTCTAGATAGAGTGAATAACGAAAATTAATCTATTTGGAGAATCTTTTGTGTTGTGTAAAATGGGATATACATGTACAAAAATTTTATTTTGAGGTTTGATTCTGAATGTCCCATGGAAAACCCTGTGTTTGCACTTTCCCCATAGTACAGGGAGATGCCAATTCACTCTGTAAAAAAGAAATGTTGCATATTTTGAAGTTATCTTTAACAAAGCAAATTATATTTGGAAAGATATTGTAGCTCCAGAATAAGGCAACATTATAGAAAGCCATTTAGGATTCTGATAGCAGAACTCCCCAAATATTATCACACAAGCTTTGCAGCATAACTCAATTAACAAATTAAAGGCCTATTTTGCATGAAAGAGTGTTTACCTTTTGAGAAACACTGTAGATTTTTTCTACACCTGAGCTTAGCATAAATTTTGCATTTCTCACAGGACAGAGATTATAAGGCACATTCAATTTAAGCTATTTTTGTTTGTCTAGACATGATCGTGGAGGTTGTTATAAATGTGTCTGAATAAGTATGTATCAAAAGGCCAATAAAATAGCAAGAAAACTGAAGTATGTAATTCATCTTATGAAAAAGTCTAACTGTGAAGCCATTGCAGTGATATGTTGCCAGATTCTTTTAATTATTATTATTATCATCAGCCTCAGAAAATATCATTTTTAGTCACGATATAAGAAAGTAAAGGAAGATTTTTTGTATCTGTAGTCAAAGCATTGTACAGGCATTTATAAGGCATTCAGGGTAGTTCTTGTCACAGCAGTGTAAGTCTCAAAGTTTCAGAAATCCTTCCAGAGAAAGCCATGTAGGCCTGGAATGCATCCATAAGTATTTGGCACTATGGTTATGTCCTTATGTTAGTATGTAACATTCTGAAACATTCTGCTTATTCATTTACTTTCTATTTTTGTGTTGATTATAAAAACTTAATCTCTAAATTGGTTAACAAACAAGGAGAATCAAAGGAGTTGCCAAGTTAGACAATAATAAAACACTAAATTAACTGATTATCAAATATTCAGAATTACATTACTGTATACAGAAGGCAAATAATCAAACATGATTTGGACTGGGAGTGAGCAGAAAGACGAAAAATGAAATACTTAAAAAAAAATGAATAGTTTTTAAAAATGTAGGAGATACACCTATTATATTATTTACATTTATTGAGAGCTTTTACTGATGAAAATGCCACTCTTTTTTTATATATATTACACTGAATTTTGTACAATTCTCCTAGTTGACAGTGCATTTTTTGTATATAGCAGATACTTTTTTAAAATCAGCATACACAGCATTTTGCTTTCCTTTATTTGCAGTAACTGACACTAGATTTTTTAGTCATTTTTGCAGCAATAATGCCAAAAGAAATGGGCATATCTGTAACTATATATTTTTTTTCATAACTCATCAGTGGCAAAAGACTCACCCTAAGACAGACATTACAGGAATAATTCATATGATAGCATAATTGATTATATAAAACTATCTGGTGAATACACATTGGATATTATCACAAATAAAGATGATGTTTTTACTGTAGGTTCAATGCCATTTTCATGTCTCCTCAACCTGAAGGCCTTTTCATCATTCTAAATGTTCTGAGTTCTGATAATTGAAATCTTTGGCATAATTAGTATTACTGTTATTAACTCATTAGTACCAGTTACATGTACTGTATCCTGTAGTTTTAGTATTACTGATATTAACCCATTGGTATCAGTTACATGTACTGTATCCTGTAGTTTTGTTTTATGAATTTTGCTTGCATGTAAACAGCTCTACAAGTGCTCATCCACCAAGGAGCCAATGAGTAGGCCTCTTTAACCTCATCTTATTATCCCATTCTTTGAGTTTCGTTTTTTTTTTTCTAATGCTATTAACCCAATTCCGCTGGGGAAAATTATAAAAAAAAGGGGAAAACGCTGTGCCTATTTTCTATATTTCTTGTGAAATGTCTGCCCATAGATGGCTCTGCTAGTGCTTAGCCACAAAGGAGTCAATTAATAGACCTTGTAACCGTACCTGATTTGAAATGACAGGAAAAACGCATTTTTTCTAGTGCTATGAATATCGATGGTGTTATTTTTATTATAAACATTATGATTATTATAATGTTTTTTAACATTAGTGACAGCAAAATAAGAGAATGTAAAATATTTTGTAAATCAAAGAAAAGAGTAAACAGGCGAGACAAGCGGTACTCGTAACTGGCTCATTGGTGATTTAGTACAAGTGTTGCAGTCTATGTGTAAAAAAAATAAGTACTCACATGTCATACCCGTTGATATTGGGTTAATATTGATGTTATTATTATTATCATTGACATTATGATTCTTAAAGTGTTTTTAATAATACTATAGGAGGAAAAAAAATAGAAATAGAAATCTTTCTGAAAATCAAGAAAAAGGATAAGCAGGTAAGATAGGCAGGACTAAAGATTGACTTCTTGGTGACTAAGCGCTTGTGTAAACGTCATCTATATGTAAACACAATTAACCCATTCGCGCCGGGTGTCATGTATACATGACATGCCCACTATGAGTTTACTTGTTTATTTGTTTTTTTTACATAGATGGCTGCACTTGTATTTGTACTGCCTATCTCCCCTGTTTACCCTTTTCTTTGATTTACGAAAATATTTCATGTTATCTTATTTTGCTGTTACTAATGTTTATAACATTATAGTAATTATAATGTTTATAATAAAAATAACCATCCATATTCATAGCACTAGTAAAAAATATACTTTCCTGCCAATTCAAGTAAAGGTGAAATCAGGTAAGGCAGAGCTATCTATGTGTGGAGATATTTCATAAAAAATATAAAAAATAAGCACAGCATTTTCCCCATTTTTTGTTCATTTTTACCTGTTGCGAATGGGTTAATGAATTAAAATCACTACAGACATGGCATACATTTTTGCCATCCCTGCATCAGTGGGTTAATTTCATTACTTAATTCAATAATACTACTATCGTAACTTATATCAAATTAGCATCATCAGAAATGTTTGCATCATCTTATAATTACTATTATTGTAGTGATATGATTCTAATTATCCTTATTATTGCTATTATCACTTTCACTTTCCACTAATTTTCCTGCCATTATCAATACATCATCACTACATAACTCGGTCATTACTTTTAGAAGATAAATTACATCACCAACAAAGACATTACATCAATAACCAAGATATTATATCACTGACATCAAAATTATACCAATAAGAAAGGTATCTAATCACTTTCAAAAAAATTATATCAATCACAAAAGGTAAAATTTGGTTCCTTTCACTATGTCAAATCCTTACTATTACATTCAACAAGGCATATGGTGAAATGCCCATTTATAACTTTTAATTAGATAGGAATGTAAAGGATAAAAATATTTAATGAATGAAGGAATGAATTAAAAACTCCAAAATAAATCCTCTTTTTTATTAACTTTGAAATAATAGTAGCTATAAAATAATGATACTAGTTTAAAAGTTTTCTGAGCTAGTCCATACTTAAAAGTTTAAAATGTGTGTAGAATAAAATATATCAAAGCTAGATACTTTCAGAAACAAAATGCCAAAAAAAGTACACACATCTGTTTTAAAAGTCAAATCTGTCTTAAAATGTACAACAGATCTTGCAGTAAAATATACATATATATATACATAAACTAAACAGACTACATCATCAAAAAATGGGAGATTAAAAAAAGATAGGCAAAAAATCTAATTTGAGCAGACTCCACCTTATTATAACCAATTCATCTTTTTCCTAAGACATATCGCATTTTTATCTTGAGTTGATCAATGGCTCTGACATACACGCATGCATATACAAAAGAAAAACAGTGGAATATTGCACCTAAAAATGCCAATGGGATTGTTTATTTTTCCCTACACTGATATGTTACTTTGTAATTTGAGAAAATACACTGTTTAAGAATACAACTAGTTGTGCACCAATGTAATTACTATAGGAGCTTACACTCTTATACATATAAAGAGAAACTTTTAAAATATATTTTGACATACATATACCATACAAGACATTGATTATTTGAAAGATTCACAGCCTTGCAGCATATTCATTACGTCACAACAATATTTTTCACATACAATACACATGTATTAAATATGGACAATACAAGTTTTTTAACATTTACCATTTACTTTTAACTTATCAATGAACATTAAAATTACAAAATATATTCTTATAAACTTGAATTAATAATGTAAATATAGGGTTTCTGAACAAGCAAATGCAATGAAAGGAATCCTCTTGTCTATGAGTAATTAAATTTACATAAAATATGCAAATAAACTATAAAAATGTAAATGAAGAATTGCAGCCAGCTGTTCTGAACCTCTTCATTCACACTCATTGGTAGATTACTATGCTTATTTCACGCTTAAAAACTTATCCACAAGTCACTTACACTGTATAGAAGTGAGAATGACTCAACCAGTCCTCATAAAATAATCATGAAATATGACATTTCCTTTTAAAAACTCCCTATCAAAAATTACAGAGATATTGCAATCTTTTCTTTAAAAACACACCTGTTCCCTTAAAAAATCCTGAGGAATGAAAATAGTTTCCGTCACATTCAGTCCCAGGAGGATATAATAAAAAGTGCTCCTGTCGTCAAACTAGTCGCATGAAATGACAGTAATCAACCATGCTCATCATCCGAGGCAAAACCAATACAGTAAGAAGACCGCAAGGAAGATGAAGGCTAGGAGCATGCCTCCGTATACTACGCGGTTGTAGATGTGATGATTGGAACTTCTTAGTAATCTCACTATGCCTTCTACTTGTTTCCTGTAAAGAAAAAGATGTGTATGAGTTTGGTTATAGCAAAAATAATGATAATGATGACAATAATGAAAATAGTAATCATTATTATACTAGTAATGATAAGGATAATAATAACAATTAGAGTTGATGATGATAAATGAGAAAGTCTTCCCATCTGGACATGTTTGCAAATGTATTCTAAGAACACTCTCCCATTAGTCAAGCTGGAGTCTTTTGTTTACACATCTCAGAACACTTCTATTATTTATCTATAATATAATGCCCAATACAAGTGTCAAGCTTCAAAGCTCTACTATTCTGGGGCCACTATGCAACTCCTCCAGCAGAAGCAGTCAATTCCAGCAACATCTTCTGCAATGATGATGCATCATGGCACATGAAACACAAGATGTTGCTACATCTTTCCTGTTAATCCCATTGGCCATGGGCTTATGTACTGTCCACTGTATTTTGTTGGAATTTTGTTACACACAGTTGGTTCCACAAATGCTCAGCCACCAAGGAGTCACCTAATAGGCAACAGAAGATAATCTCCTGCATGAAGCTGGCACAAAAGCATCAAATTCCCATTTTGATACAATGAGGAATCAAGTATGACAGTAGACAACAATGACTGCACTTAGTCACAGATTCTTCCTTGGAGTAAGATAACTGGCAAAAATCAATGCCACCTTTTCTCCTATTGCTACTAGGGTTACAGTATGACAAGACATCTGATATTCTTTGCTTTTGTAAATGAAAACCACAGAAGTTAAATATATTTTTTATAAAGAATACTAATAATTCTAATGGGTCATACCTCCACCACGAACTTGGAGCTGTGCATAAATCATAAAAAAATATTTATATGTCTGGACACCATGAGGTAAAATTATCCTAGCCCTTCTGTGTTTCACCAACAGCAGTTTGTTGTTTAGTAAAATATATTGGCGTCAGTTAATTTTCATCTCATACTAATTAAAATTATTCAGATAAATACAAGATAATTTAATAATTTGTTGAGACAATTTCGGTAGGACACAGTCAACTTTTTATCAATTTACAACACATACCAACATTTAGCCAGTTTTATTCTTGTATTTACCAACTTGTTTAGCCAAATATAATAACATTTCAGTTATTTCTTATCTCATACTTCCTATATTAGTTCAACCAATTCTTAACCCTTACATGCCAGAATTGTTCAGCTAAGTATAATAAGATTCAGTCAATTCCCATCTTGTACTCATAACATTTATTCAAATTCTTCCCTCATATTAGCCAGATTGGTTCAGTCAAATGTAAAGAAACTCAGCCAATTCCTACCTTGTATTTGCCAGACTTCCCGAGTTTTCAATGATAATATCAGCCATGGAACATTTCTTCTCAAGCGGCATCTGGGCTTCAATGCGGGCAATGGCTTCTTTCTCTGTGTACTGATTTCTTGTCAGTAAACGCTCCAGCTGAATCTCGTCTTCACTGGAAAAGCGAAAATGACATATAATTAATTATTTTTCATTAAAAACAACATCAACTGGTGATATTCCATTAACCCATTGCTGCCGGGGATGGCATGTACATACATGCCATGCCCACTCTGAGTCGACTTGTTTGATTGTTTTTACACATAGATGGCTACACTTGTACTAGGTCACCAATGAGCCAATTACGAGTACTGCCTGTCTTGCCCATTCACCCTTTTCATTGATTTACAAAAATATTTAACATTATCCTAATTTGCTGTTAAAAATATCACCATTTATTTTTATAGCACTAGTAAGAATACATTTTTTCCCGCCAATTCAAGGAAAGGTGAAATCAGGACTAGCAGAGCCATCTATGGACAGAGATATTTCACAAAAATATAAGAAATGAGTATAGCATTTTCCCATTTTTTGTTCATTTTCCCCAGCGGCAATGGGTTAAAACAAAGTAAATTATTTTTAGAATACACTGTGGTTAAATATTCAACTAAGTCACATTCCAAATACTGTGAAGTTTCAAGTATATTTTGAAGAGCCACAGGATAAATCTATGGACTGTAAAAACATATAAATAACTGTACCATGGCAATTTACAATATGATGCTAATGAAATCAACAAAATCCATTATAAATCAATTCCAAACAAAAACCATAGAAATATTAGTTTGCATAATAAACTTACCATCCTATACTTTAGACA